GAATTGGATTGATAAGGCATGAGTGGTTGGGACAGCGAGTACAGTGTACATGGAAATCTGTAATTGACAAAGCAATTTTTCCTTTTGCAACACCAACGGAGTTTACTTCTCTCCTTATGATTCTTTGTTCAAGTTTTGTTAGAAGCATTGCGAGAGTAAAATCACGAATGCATTAGATCCATGTAGAGGAATGTACTCTTAAGATCGCATGGGGTGGACCGGTCGACGCACACGAAAATTGACATGTACATCATATAACCCGCTTTAACCCCCCCCCCCCCAAAAAAAATCCCGTTGCAACTACTTCACGTCACGTCAAATTTAGGTGTCTTGTGGCCATCATCTGTACAATACAATAAATGCAATCTGCGGCATCCTCCTTCCGCTTTCATTATCAACAAATATAATCACGTATGACACAATGAAAGCATATATTAATAACATAGAAGGCTCGATGTTTGTTTTTCTCATGGCATGGGACATCCTAACCATTTTACTCGAGAAAGTATTTTAGGTTACCATTGAATGATTGACGTGACGTAATCGACTGATTCTAACACCCGCGTGACAAATGACTGAACTCTGATTGATTTGTCTCTCCACGTCACTAACATGTCACATAACTACTACACGAGGTATCATTTTTTTTTCTTCAAATTGACCAGTTCGCATGAATACATGCAAGCAGCCTCATTTATGTATATCAAGTAAGGCTTTACTACATTATAATATCCAAGTGCATTGGATAAGGTTTCATCTGCAGGGTGGTGGACGTGGTCATTAAGGTCAATATGAATGACTCATTGATTTGAATATAGAATCTGCTGGGTCCGAACCAAGTACTTAACCACTCACTCAACATTTTGGACAAAACCGGCAACTCTAGTATATAAGAAATAGAAGGGATTGGAGTATATTTTTTACTCTTCGGGACAAAATATATACGGTGTCTTATTTATGGATTTTTATTAGGTCCATTGTCGATGCAATATATAATTTACACATTCCCGTTAAATTGTTGACACATGAAGCGATTCGGTCATAAAATGACGAGAAAATTATCAAAAAAATTCTAAATCTATTGCAATTGTGCAAATGTAGTCTTAAACATTTTTTGCCAATTAAGTCCTAAATATTTTGCATTTGCGCCGATTCAGTCAATCTAACCAATTTTAGCCGAAAATCGCTGATATGGACGACAGTCGTCTTACATGGCACAGCCGGCGTTGACGTGGACAATTTGTAAAATATTTTTCAAGATTTTCATTTTTTTTTCCTTTTTTCTCTTTTCTTTCTCTTTCTTTTTTTTTCTTTTCATCTTCCTCTAGCCAACAAGGTCGTCCTCGCTGTCACCTCATCCAGTGTCAACCGCGCCATGTAGGACGGCCGGCGTCCATGTCAACGATTTCTAGCCAAAATTGCCTGAATAGACTGAATTAACACAAATGCAAAAGGATTAGTACTCAATTGGAAAAAAAAACGTTTATGACTAAATTGGAACAATTGCAATAGGTTTAAAACTTTTTTGATAATTCTCCCATAAAATAACTCCAAACACACATGTCACTCATCCATCGGTGAACTTGTAAGTTTTTAATATGACGTCAGCAATTGATCTAACAATACTCCATTTTTTATTGGTAATTCTTCGTGGGGCTTGTACAATATATATTTCTATATATTTTGGTTATGATATGGACCGTCTTGGTATAGCAAAAATAGGGCCTCGGGTAAGACTTTTTTTTTTTTTTATAACCAAGGTGTCCGCGCGGCCGGCGAGCTAGGGCTCAAATCAGCGGTGATGCCCGACTAGTCCTCGAGGGGGCGCCTCGGGTAAGATTTCATGCCCATTGAATGTCCAAAAGCCATAACCTTAGATAGATCCATGTACCTGTGCGTCCAGGCCACTAATAGAATAGACTGAGGTCCATCAACGGGGACTTTGGCCCGTGTCTGAGAAGAAATGCCCGGCAGCAGGAGATTGAAGTGTTTGGAACTGGAGGGGCACCTCCATTAGAGATGATCATTGGACGGGCTCGAAGATCGGGCCTAACGTTAAACAGATCTTACAAAATCGCGTTGTTACGCAACATTCGAATCATTAATTGTAGATATAAACTGTTGATCCGATATAAAGAAATTGTACATGTATACGTGGAAAGAGAAAAATAAATTAAGATTTGAACTTTCTTCTTCGACCCAAAAGAAAAAAAAAGAACTTTCTTCTACAAGATTACTCATGAGTTAAAAAAGATTGAAATTTGAAGAATTGAAATACATGAGAAATGAAAGGAAATCATTCATGAACGCATTTGTTTATTAATAGAATATTTACAAAATAACCGATCAAGGTGTAATACCCTAAAAATAGGAGACTCTATTTATTTTATAAAATAGAATATATATATATATATATATATATATATATCTGTGTGTGTATTTCGCTAAAAAAAGGTGGAATATCATTTAAAATATGATAAACCGAATTGATATGTTATGAAATGGTTTTTGGTGGTTTTGGACGGAAAAGTTAATGGTTGGAAATTAAAGGAATTTAAAGTGCATGTACAGTATACGAAAGGTTTTTTTTTATTTTTTGAACAAGAAGTAAATGAAAGGTTGCAAGAATGTTAATGGTACTTGAAACTTTTACTGGAAATGTAAATTTAAGAAGACATTAAAGATAAAAATGCATAAATTGTGCTGTCATTGGTTGTGTGTGTGTGTTTTTTCCCAAAGATTGTAGCGTGGGCTTTTCATATCTTACTAATAGCATGTATTACAAACATTTCCAGATTGTGAATTCATAAATAACCTCTTAATCCTACTCGCAATTGTTAATAAGCAGTCACAAGCTCTTGACAAGATCTCCTATTATTTAGTAATGACTATCTACAAGAAATTGCAGCTCCCAAGAATACCAGCGTAATCACTCAATAGTTACGTGCTCGTGTCATTCCACCATCTCTATCTTCGACTATTGGTAGTTAATCATTATGTTCATTAATTGTGCTGCCTTAACACTTAATCAAAATCCGGGATCGCTTCCATCAACTTTTCTCAAGTTCTAATTAAGGCTCTTATCGTCAACTTCCCACACTATAGTTTGTCGATTTCCTCTACGGTCGACAAGTTTGTAATTTGCCGATTGTTCTTGTTCACTGATAAATTCTAATTTGACCAAACTTTACTTTTGTCGACCGAGCTCGCTACCAGTTAATAATAAAGAGATGGACATTTTTTTGGTGTTAACAATGTAACAATGTAACAATGTGCGTAAGTATCACGAGAAAGAAAGATTCATGTTTGCTTCCGGACAAGTGGAGTTGTTTTAAATTAGGGTGGAAATCCAGCACGGATCTTCGCAGGAATCCACCTCGACTCGTAATAATGACTTTGGACAACTGGCAAACAACATGTCTTCGCGTCGAGGGCAAACTTAGGCAGAACCGAGGAAGCCGCGTGGGACTATCTTGTGAGCAAGTACGACCAGCTAATTGTCCCATAACTTTTTTTATAAGAAAATGAAAGAAATAATTTGTACTAAACGATAAAATATTCACTCTAATTATGAATTACTGTCGAAGCTCAATTAGCGGACGTACTAAAACATCTGTCATTTCTCATCTTCACTTTATGCTATCCAAAGAACAAAAGAAAATTTGAACTCAATTCTTTCGAAGTTTGAGTAGCTCAAGAGCATAAACGGGCCATTTTATGTTTATAAATGAAAGAATTCGTTAATAGGTGTTCAAAGTTGAAAATTTTTATTTATAGTTAATTAGATTTATATAAAATAACAAAATGATTGTAATGTCAGTCGTGCTTTCGAAACTCGAGCTCGATCGTTGCTGCCTTAGTTTTTTTTTATCGATCAAGTTGAGTCTAGTAGAGTTCAAATCCGAATGTCCAAGTAGAATATTGAGCAATGAACAATTTGCATATATATATAACAGAGAAATTCATGCATGCTAATTGCATGTGGCAGAACTCCATGGGGAAACTGCATGGGGAGCTTCCTTTTTATTTTTTATTTTTTTGGATCAAAAACATAGGGAGCTTCCTTGACTCGCGAAAACATGGTCAAGAAAAATAAAAAAAATGAGAGTCAAGAAGACCATAATATACCAATAAACCAATGCATGCATGCATGTCGGTGAACTGCCGGAGGAATGGCTAATGAATTACTTACCCCAAAAACTTAGCACGGACTCTTCCAAGTCCTAACAATCTCAACTTGGTATTCGATTTAATCAATTTAAATATTCAAATTATTTCGTTTGGGAGTTGTCACTAATAAGTTGTTGGCAGGTCGATTAGACACCTAAGTAAAGTGGGAAACTATTCTTTTATTTCTTTATGATTTGAATCTGACACTATATTCTTTAATTACTCACTAAGTTTGCTCTCAATAAACCAATTTTCCGACTTGGCATTTTATAATGCAAATTTCAGTCATAAAGATTTTAAATGGGTTTGGCCAAAATTACATGCTCCCATAGGCTTAGTCTAGTTTATCAATTAGGAAACCATTTATTTAAGTACACCGACCACCGGTCCGATAAATAAGCAGATGTATGGCCTTAATTAACTATTAATACAAATAATCCTAATATTTGTACCACTTTCAACTAATATTTTTTTGTTTAGGGGCTGTGATCGACTTCTAATTTTCTATTGAATTAAAGATCAAATGGGTTGGTAAAATTTAAGTATCAACAATGCATGCATTGCATTTGCATTTGCATGTTCCTTCCACTCAACTTACAACCTGCTTCCGGTCTGTTTAAAGCTGTACCATTAATTAAAGATTTAATCCTTGTTTTTTTTTTTTTTTGGCATTTCTTCTTTCACTTGGATTCTTCTTCCTTGGTTCCTGCCCCCATTTTGAAAAGCATTTTACACAGGCCTTGTGGGTCAGGCCCCTTTTAAAAAGTCTTGTAAGAACTACTATAAGAACCATAGTAGAGCTCTTCACAATAGCATCATCACCAACTAAGAAAGCCTTTGCTCTCCATCATCTCTTCATTAGCCCTTCTCTCTCTCTTTTCCCTTTTTCCTGTTTAGCTCTCGCAGTTGTTGTCGTTAGTAAGAAATATGAAGCTTGCTCTTGCAACCCTCCTCCTTGTTTCTCTTGTTCTTAGCTCCTCTTTGCACGCCATGGCTGGCGGTTTGAGCCCACAACCTGCTCCGAGTAAGCATTAAACACACATATTTACGTGTTCGTAACATTCTTATTCATGAAATTGACATGATTGTGTTTTTTTTTATTCACTTTCGACTCCGAGTGCCACGTACTCTCAATGTCTGGCTCTTGGATAAGCCGAATTCATGTAAAAGGAAGAAAAAAGAAATGAACTACCTAGTGCTAGTAATGTACAATGGGAGTATGCGTTGAGTGCTGGATACAATGATTGATTCAATGCACACATTCGACCGGATTCCAAATCTTGCGTTTTCTTTTGTTTTGTCTGACAGGTTCGTGCGACACCAAGTGCGGCGCGAGGTGCAAGGACGCAGGGGTGAAGGACCGGTGCCTTAAGTACTGCGGAATCTGTTGCCAGAAGTGCCAGTGCGTGCCGTCGGGGACGTACGGGAACAAATCGGAGTGCCCTTGTTACAATGACATGAAGAACTCCAAGGGCAGTGCCAAATGCCCTTGATTCATTCCATTCCTTTGTATCTGATGAAAATTCATTTCCGATTTATTCCTTTTATTCTGTAATATGGCCTTGTCAAAGCTTCTTGGATCATTTCCTCCCTCAATAATAAGAAATATTTGGTTGGTTTTCACTTCTTATGTTGGATTTATACGTCCCTTGTCAATAACCACGTTTTAAAATACATAGAGGGAGTCGAATTACATATGATTAGGGATCGCCAAAAAGTTGTTATGGGGTTTGATGATAGTCAAGGACGGTCGAATTAAGTGTCAAAGAGTAGGACGAAGTGTAGAAAGGTCGATAGCTGTCAAAGATCCAGCACGAAGAGACGATGTTTTTTTCATTTTGGTCGTTGACTTAAGTCAAAGGAAAATGGGAAAGTTGAAAAAAAAATGAGGGTTAGGAAAGTTCTGCACAGCAGCTATTGATCACTTTAATTAAGGCAAAATGACACTATAAGTGCCATAAGTTATGTACGGAGATCACTTTGATGCCATAACTTTTTTTCGGATCACTTTGGTACCACCTTTTTGAAAAACGATCCTTTTAGTGTCAATGCTAACATGGCTGCCGGAAATCTGACGTTGCTCTTTTTTTATTAATTTCCGATGCTGACATGGTTCACCGGAAATCTGACGTGGCTCTTTTTTTGGCCGGAATTTTGCCCGGAGTCACTAAAGTGATTTATTTTCCTCCGATTTGGCACCAAAGTGATCCGAAAAAAAAGTTATGGCACCAAAGTGATCTCCGTACATAACTTATGACACTTATAGTGTCCTTTTACCCTTTAATTAAGCTAAAGAACCGACCATGTGAAGAGACTAAAAAGATTAAGCAAAAATGGAGAATCTATATAATGCCTCCTAAATTTTTCAATCTTACCAATTTAATCCTAACCTTTGCGAGAAATTCCAATTTAATAATTCCGGTCAATATTCGCCACAAATTGCTAACGTGGCGGTCCAACCATTGCAGATGTGGCACACCACCGCATCGGTAATTTCCTGCCAAAATTGGCCGGAAAGATTATATTGAAATTTTGCATTAAGGTCTAGGATTAAATTAGAAAAAATTGAAAAGTTTAAAATTGAAAAAACATGGACTGATTGAACAATTTCCCCTTAAATGCTTATATATTTATGAATGAAATCAGGTCAAATAACAAGAACCTAAAGGTGAGCGGCTCCAAGAGTTCCTAAGCAAATTCATTTTAAACCTGGAACATATCTTGTCAGGATCAGTTCTCAAGTTTTGAAACTTGGAACTTATCATTTATACCTTAGAATCAAAACTAGGGTCTACACGAAAACAGTCAAACTCTTTTCTTTTTTCTTTTCATTACCACATACAACGAATATGTAGTTAGAAACTTCATGTTCTTACAGTTCAGACTTCAGACAATCACATAACTTGTACTTATTTCTACGAGCATGTTTTTATGATTTTCCATACCTAGCAAATTTCACCCATGAAAAAAGTGGACAATCACAGGACCTAAATACATCTTCTGTGATTATCTCAGCTTTTGCAGTACTTTAGTCCACTCACTATATTTTTTTTATTTAAATTTTGTTATCATCAAATTACCCAGACACGTTTTCCGACGATCTCCTTTTTTTTCATGAAGACAGCTCCCATACCTCCCCAAACTTGCAGGTGTTATGTACATACACATGATTTCACTTTTGCACAGTCAATGTAATGCAGAACCAGAATTTGCATGACCTATGCATGCTTTTACTATTATTTTTGTCGACCGAGCTTACTACCCGTTGATAATAAAGAGTTGACCATTTTTTTGTGTGTTAACAATGTGCGTAAGTAACACGACAAGAAAGATTCATTTTTGCTTCTGGACAAGTGGAGTTTGTTTCAAAATTTGAGTGGAAATGCAGCACGGATCTTCGCAGGAATCCACCTCGACTCTTAATAATGACTTGGACAACTGGCAACAACATGTCTTCACGTCGAGGGCAAACTTAGGTAGAACAGAGGAAGCCGTGTGGGACTATCTTGTGAGCAAGTACGACCAGCTAATTGTCCCATAACTTTTTTCATAAGAAAAGGAAAGGAATAATTTGTACTAAACGATAAAAGATTCGGGCTAATTGTGAATTGCTGTTTAAGCTCAACTAGTGAACGTACTAAAATATCTGTCTTCTCTCATCCTCTCTTTACGCTATCCAAGGAAAAAAAGAAAAATTTAAGCTCAATTCTTTGGAAGTTTGAGTAGCTCAAGAGCCTAAATGTGAGATTTTATGTTTATAAATAAAAGAATTCGTTAATATGTGCTCGAAGTCGAAATTTTTTTATTTATGCGTAATTAGATTTGTACAAAATATCAAAAAGATTGAAATGTTTATCGTGATTTCGAAACTTGAGCTCGACCTTTGCTCCCTTGATTTTTTTATCGATCCAGTTGAGTCCAGTAGAGTTCAAATCCGAGTGTCCAAATAGAATATTGTGCCATGAACAGTTTGCATTAATATATATTTGACCAGAAAATAAAGAAAGAAATCCGTGCATGCTAATTGCTTGTGGCAGACCTCGGCGGGGAAGCTGCATGGGGAGCTTCCTTGACTCGCAAAAACATGGTGAAGAAAAATTAAGACTGAGAGTCAAGAAGACCATTATATACCTATAAACCCATGCATGCATGCATGCATGCATTGCATTTGCATTTGCATGTTCCCTCCACTCTACTTATTACAACTTGCTTCCAGTCTGTTTAAAGCTGTACCCTTAATTAAAGATTTAATCCTTGTTTTGTTTTCTATTGCATTTCTTCTTTCACTAGGATCCTTCTTCCTTGGTTTCTCACTCCATTTTGAAAAGCATTTTCCACAGGTCTTTCTGGGTCAGCCCCTTTTTGCAGTCCACTCTCTATCTAAGATAAAAAATTATTAAAAAAATCTAGCAAGAAGTACTATAAGAACCCTCGTAGAGCTCTTCACAATAGCATCACTACTAAGAAAGCCTTTGCTCTCTCCGTCATCTCTTCATTAGCCCTCTCTCTTTCTCTCTAATATTTTCCCCTTTTCCTGTTTAGCTCTCGCAGTTGTCGTCGTAACTAAGAAATATGAAGCTTGCTCATGCAACCCTCCTCCTTGTTTCTCTTGTTCTTAGCTCCTCTTTGCACGCCATGGCCGACGATCTCATTCCGCAACCCGCTCCAAGTAAGACATAAACACGCATATTTACTTGTTCATAACATTCTTATTCATGAAATTGACATGACTTTTTTTTTAAATTCACTTTCGACTCAGAATGCCTCTCTCAATTACTGGCTCTTGAATAAGTCGAATTCATGTAAGAGGAAGAAAACAAAATGAACTTCCTAGTGCTAGTAATGTACAATAGGAGTATGCGATGAGTCTTAGATACAGTGATTGATTCGATGCACATGTTGGAGTGGATTCCAAATCATGCATTTTCTTTTGTTTCATCCAACAGGTTGGTGCGACACCAAGTGCGATGCGAGGTGCAAGGACGCAAAGGAGAAGGACCGGTGCCTCAAGTACTGTGGAATCTGCTGCAATAAGTGCCAATGCGTGCCGTCAGGGACGTATGGGAACAAATTGGAGTGCCCTTGTTACAATGACATGAAGGACTCCAAGGGAACTTCCAAATGCCCTTGATTCATTTTATTCCTTTGTATCTGATGAAAGTTCATTTCATATTATTCTTTTGATTATGTAATATTGCGTTGTAAGAGCTTCTTGGATCATTTTCTCACTCAATAATAAGAAATATTTGGTTGGTTCTCATTTCCTAAGTTGGATTTATACGTCACTTGTCAATGACCACGTTTTAAAAATATAGAGAGGGAGTGAAATTACATAATGTAATTTATTAATAAAATCAGGTCAACTAACATATGAACCTAGGGATAAGTGGTTCCAAGGCAAGTTCATTTGAAACTTGGAACCTATCTTGTATACCTTGAAATCGAATACAAGGTTAGTTTCGGGGTTTACCCAGAAAACGACCAATTCCTTCCTTTTTGTTTCATTTTTAGAAAGCTCACACACAACAAATATGTAGTTAAAAAGTTCACATTCTTACTGTTCGGACAATCACATAATTTACACTTAGTTCTACGAGCTTGTTTTTACGATTTTATATACTTAGCAAATTTCACCCATGAAAAATGTGGACAATCATCTCAACTTCTGCAATACTTTAGTCCACTCAGTAAATATTTTTTATTTTAAATGTTGTTATCATTAAAATACTTAGACACATTTTCCGACAATCTCCTTTTTTTTATGAAGGACAACTCCCATGCCTCTCCAATACACATGATTTCACTGATGCACAATCGATCTAATGCAGAACCAGAATTTGCAAGACCTATGCATGCTTCTACTATTACAGTTTTAGAAAAATATCTCTAAATATATAAAGATGTACTCCCCTTAAGTATCGGAGCGTTTAGATTCGGTTCTCTGATTCCCATTCCAGTTTGGTTTGGTTCGGTTCCTACACAGGAACTGAGAACCGAACCACACAATTAAGGTTCCAAAAATTTTGAAAAAGCAATCAGATCCATTCCCATTGAAACTTGGAACCGGACTGGTTCTCATGGCTGGTTCATTCCAGTTTCCAGTTCTACCCGAAATCCATGGTCACCCCTACGAGAACCATTGACCATTTTTGCCTACTATAGTCCACATCCCTAAATTTACTGTTGATTTATAAGAAAATGGCTTGAATTAGCTACAGGCCGAGCGGCCATTAGATACTGTCAGCTAGGTGGTAACCATTGATAGGAGCAGAGGTGAATCCAGCCACATCTTGTAATATTCCCACCATTCAAATAGAAAGATCCAATTATTTCAATTTAACGCTCTCTCTCTTTTTGTTAATTTGAGCAGTTCAAAGGCCTCCACCAAGCTCGCCGCCTCCATCGCATGTGATAATCGTCAGTCGTCACTATCTAGTGGTCACTCATTGTCACTTACCTTAAGACGATTATACAAAAAGTCATAAACTTATTGTAAAGCAGCCAATTTAGTCATAAACAGTATCAATTTAGTCTAAACATTTTGACGAACTAATTTAGTCCTAAATCTTTCTTTGTGTCAATTGAGAACTAAAATTTTTAAATATTTGCCAATTTAGTGCTAAACATATTATTTAGATATTTGGTTGGAAGGACTACATTAACAAATGGTCAAAACGTTTATGACTAAATTAATTGGTAATTCACTAAAAGGTTTATGACCAAATTGACATAATTAAAAGATTTACGACTGAATTGGCTTCAATAAAATAGGTTTGTGACGTTTTGGACAATTTTCCCCACTTACCAATGCATCTCGATCTCTCTCTTTCCTTCCGTCGTTGTAGAGAGCGAGGTCCATGACCTGAGGAGTTCGGGGTGTTAACCTTGACTATGCTCGAAGGCAACCAGCAACCTCAAATCCGAGGGCCTCTAATTTATTGGAACCTTACGAACATTTTTACACCATTTTGGATAGCGTAAAGTGCAGAGAAGAAAAGATAGATATTTAAGTATGCTTACCCATCGAGCTTATCTGTAATTCACTATTAGCATAATCGAAACGATTACGACTGAATTGGTAATGAATAATTTGCATCAATATATATTTGACCAGAAAAAAAGGAAAAAAAAAAACAGAGCAAATGCATGCTAATTGCTTGTGGCAGACCTCCATGGGGAAGCTGCACGGGGAGCTTCCTTGACTCGCGATAACATGTTCAAGAAAAATAAAGAATGAGACTCAAGAAGACCGTGATATACCAGTAAACCCATGCATGCATGCATGCATTGCATTTGCATGTTCCCTCCACTCTACTTATTACAACTTGCTTCCAGTCTGTTTATAGCTGTACCCTTAATTAAAGATTTAATCCTTGTTTTGTTTTCTATTGCATTTCTTCTTTCACTAGGATCCTTCTTCCTTGGTTTCTCACTCCATTTTGAAAAGCATTTTATAAAAAATTATTAAAAAAATCTTGCAAGAACTACTATAAGGACCCTCGTAGAGCTCTTCACAATGGCATCACCTACTGAGAAAGCCTTAGCTCTGTCCATCATCTCATCATTAGCCTTCTCTCTCTCTCTCTCTCTCTCTCTCTCTCTCTCTCTCTCTCTCTCTCTCTCCCAGTTGTCATAACTAAGAAATATGAAGCTTTCTCTTGCAACCCTTCTCCTTGTTTCTCTTGTTCTCAGTTCCTCTTTGCACGCCATGGCCGACGATCTGAGTCCACAACCTGCTCCAAGTAAGACATAAACACACATATTTATGTGTTCGTAACATTCTTATTCATGAAATTGGCATGATTGTGTTTTTTTATTCACTTTTCGACTCCGAGTGCCACTTTCAATGACTGGCTCTTGGATAAGTCGAATTCATGTAAAAGAAAGAAAAAAGAAATGAACTACCTAGTGCTAGTAATGTACAATGGGAGCATGCGATGAGTCTTAGATACAATGATTGATTCGATACACATGGTGGAGTGGATTCCAAATCATGCGTTTTCTTTTGTTTCGTCTGACAGATTCGTGCGACACTAAGTGCAATGCAAGATGCAAGGATGCGAAGGAGAAGGACCGATGCCTCAAGTACTGTGGAATCTGCTGTGGGAAGTGTCAGTGTGTGCCGTCGGGGACGTACGGGAACAAATCGGATTGTCCTTGTTACGATGACATGAAGAACTCCAAGGGCACTGCCAAATGCCCTTGATTCATTCCATTCCTTTGTACATGATGAAAGTTTATTTCATATAATCCCTTGATTTTGTAATATTGGATGCTTCTTGGATCATTTTCTCCCTCAATAACAAGAAATATTTGGTTGGTTTTCATTTCCCATGTTGGATTTCTATGTCCCTCGCCAACGATCACGTTTTAAAATATTTATAGAGAGAGAGTCGAATTACATATGATAAATTTATGAAGAAAATCAGGTCAACTAACATAAGAACCTAGGGATAAGTGGTTCCAAGACAAGTTTATTTGGAACTTGGAACCTATCCTGTATATCTTGAAATCGAATCCATAGTCGGTTTTAGGTTCTACCAGGAAAACGACCAATTCTTCTTCTTTTTTGTTTCATTTTTAGGAATTTTATACAAGACGAATATGTAAATATTTTTTGGTCAAGAACGAATATGTAATTAGAAAGTTCACATTCTTACTGTTCAGATAATCACATAACTTATACTTAGTTAAGCTTGTTTTTACGATTTTCCATACTTAGCAAATTTCACCCATGAAAAATGTGGACAATCACAGAACCTAAAAGCATCTTCTGTGATTATCTCAGCTTCTGCAGTACTTAAGTCCACTTACTAAATATTTTGATCTAAATTTCGTTATCATCAAATTACTCAGACACATTTTCCGACAATCTCTTTTTTTGTATGAAGACAACTCTCATACCTCTCAAAACTTGCAGGTTTTATGTACATACACATGATTTCACTTTTACACAATCAATGTAATGCAGAACCAGAATTTGCTTGACCTATGCATGCTTCTACTATTACAGTTTTAGAAAAACATCTCTAAATGTATAAAGATGTACTCCCCCCTAAGTATTGGACCATTGAGGTTCAATTCTTCGATTCCCGATCCGAATTGGTTCGGTTCCTACACAGGAACTGAGAACCGAACTGCATATTTAAGGTTAGAAAAGTTTGGAACAGGAAATCAAAACCATTGCTATTGAAACCTAAACCATACTAGTTCCCATGGTCGGTTCGATCCAGTTCCCGTTTCTACTTGAAACTTATGGTCACCACTACAGGAACCCATGACCATTTTTGCTTACTATAGTCCACATCCCTGAATTTACTGTTGATTGATAAGAAAATGGCATGAATTAGCTACTGGCCGAGCAGCCATTGGATACTGTCTACTAGGTGGTAATTATTGGGAAAATTACCAAAATAGTCCTAAACCTATTGTAATTGTGCTAATTCAGTCCTAAACTTTTTTTTTGCCAATTCAGTATTAAACCTTTTGTATTTGTGCCAATTTAATCCATCCAGTCAATTTTGGCCGGCCGGCGTTGACGTGGACGCCAGCCGTCTGGCCGACGGTGACGTGGACGCCAGCCATCCGGCCGATGGTGACATAGTAATTTTTAATATTTTTAAAGATTTTTTTCGAATTTTTTTTTGTTTATTCCCTTTTTTTCCTTTTTTGTTTTTTTGCTTTCCTTCTTCCCCTTGGCAACTGGCTAGGGGCTAGGGCTGGTGAGGTTGGCCATGGCAAGGGTGACGACCTCGCCGGCGAGGTCGGGCCTCGCCATGGCCGTGGGCCTCACCGGCACTGGCGAGGGCAAGGTCGCCCTGCCATGGCCAGATCTGGGCGAGGTCGGCCATGGCGAGGCTTGACCTCGCGGTCAACCTCGCCAGATCTAGGCGAGGTCGAGCTCGCCCTCGCCATGGCCGACCTCGCCCACGGCCATGGCGAGGCTTGACCTCGCCATTGTGGGCGAGATTGTCACCCTTGCCATGGCTGGGCAAGCTTGGCACCCTCGCCAGACCTTGCCGGCCCTAGCTCCTAACCGGTCGTCAAAAAAAAAAGGGAAAAAATAATTAAAAAATAATAAAAATTAAAAATTACCACGTCAGTGTCGGCCGGTTGGCTAGCGTCCACGTCAGCGCCGGCCGGCCAAAATTAGTCGAATGGACTGAATTGGCACAAATACACAAGGTTTAAGACTGAATTTGCCAAAAGAAAAAGGTTTATGATTGAATTGACACAATTACAATAAATTTATGACTGTTTTGGTAATTTTTCCGGTAATTATTGATAGGTTTTGTGTATTGAGCAGAGGTGAATCCAGCCACATCGTGTAATATTCATACCATTCATATGGAAAGATCCTTATCCAATTTAACGCTCTCCCTATTTTTGTATTTTGAGCAGCTCAAAAGGCCGCCACCAAGCTCGCCACTTCCGTCGCATGTGATCGTTGATCGTCCCTATCTAGTGGTCAATCGCTGTCGCTTACCACTTGCTCTCAATCTCTCTCTTTCCTTCGGTCGCAGTAGAGAGCGAGGTCCATGACACGAGGAGTTGGGGTTGTGAACCTTGACTATGCTCGAAGGCAACCAGCGACCTCAAATCCGAGGCCTCTGGTGATCGCCAATGACCTTCATGGCCTCAAATCGATAGAAGATGGTGGTTGAGGAGGTGGTGGCCGTCGTGGCCATGACTCGGTGGACAACGATAGCTAGCGAGAAATAGAAGGGAGCTCGAGTTAGCCATAGCGAGAAATAGAAGGGAGCTCAAGTTAGCCATGGCTAACTGAACGATGGTAGATGACGGGTCGTGACTCAGTGGACAACGACAGTTGAAATGGTTGTCTCGGTGGCCGTGGCTCGGTGGCATCTGCTTTTACCAAAGGCTATTTTAGAGAGAGAGAAGAGGTAGGGGTGATCGATTCTGAGAATAGAACCAAGAAACTACCCTATAGATACTTGAAACCAGCTTGGAATAGGCCGATTCCCGGTTTTATCCAGAACTCGGCTTCTTTTGTAAAAAGCACATAGTTGGTTTTACATAGTATCATTTTGGTCTATGACTCGTAAAGTTTTGTTGGTTGAATGGTCTCGTGGGCTTACTTCAAGTTGGAGGTCGTGGATTACATTCTCCCTAGTTGCATCTCACTATTTTTAAGTTAGGCATAAAACCGGTTCGACCTTGGAACCGACTTGCTTGGTTATTTCTCAAGTCAAACCGGCAATTTTTGACATAAGAATCAAAAACCGAGCCGGTTAGAGGTCGATTCCGGGGTTTAGGACCTGGGAAACAGACCAGTTCTTCCCAAAATCGGCCTGGAATTGGTCGGGTAAGGCCTGTTTGCTCCGATTTCTGGCCCTAAGGAAGATGCTAGCTTCCAGGGGTGAATTAACTAATCTGTCGTAGGTTATCTTCAAAAGCACAAATTAGAAACTTTGATAAAAAAATTCTCCCTGTATACTTATTATACATTAGACCTATATAGACAAACACATGAACCTTATAGTATGAATGACATGTGCGTGTGAAATATGTCAAATACTACAAGTGATCATTTTCAGGTAAATATTTTTCAAATCATTCATATTTCGCGAAACAAACGAAGCCTTATAGTATGAATGACATGCACGTGCGGACTCTAGGACTCTCCGTTCAATTGCAAATTGGTTGAAGTCTTGAAGAGATCTGTTATTCATATGCGCTGAGTATCACCTCCACTTCACTCCTAAATTCATGCAGTTTAACACTAATAGATTATTAATTGGCTTCCCCTACAAAATGTCATCTAGCACTCCTGGAGTTTTGACCACGGCCTTACAAATTCATGAAAATACTTAGCCAAGCCCCAAGTTCAACCTCTCTCTATCTCTTCGCTTTTTAAGCCGATGTAATTTCTCCCTATGCAACGCAGCGAGTGGTCGACCACGCATCTCCAACAACCTTAAATCGCCTGTATCATCTACTACCACCACCACCACCTTTTACATTTAAAATAAATCAATGTTGATTCAAAAATGGCGCAGAAGATGATGGTTATATAGATAAGACCGATATACGTAACTTAGTCATCCGAGAAGAATGTTCACAACATCATAAGCGTGTGAGAAAATGCTTAGAGAGCACAAGGAATTTGACAATGCCAAGAACCAGGGTGATATCAGATCAGGGAATCGGAACCAGGGTGATATCAGATCAGGGAATCGGTGGTATATAAAGTAAGAATACATAAGTTGACATAAGATTTTGGGCACTGACTTACGTATAATCTGTACATCGACATCAAATTATAATCAGATAACAAGGGCAGCACAGGTCTTGTGATTCCGAAGTTAATGCAGCGCAGTGCATCTTTTGAGAGAAATTTGATGCTTTAAGAAGAAAGACTTCATAGGCTCCACACAAGGGTACCTGGATTGGAGTATCAATAGGACGGTCCACTTTCAGGATTTGTCTGCGGTGTCCATGGTCTGGTGCGATGTCAGCCACTTTCTGAGACCACCCAGCTTATCAAATACTACTCAAATGGTTCTGGCATCAAGCACACACGAGCAACGAACCTCTGTTACACCCTAACTAATCAGATGTATACTAACTATTATACTGAAATGCATTTGCTGTAATATCATCAAACTGAGAAGCAGAATATAGGGTCAAAGGATCCCTTTCACGATGTCATCAATGAACCCACCGAATACCATTACCAGTCCACTAAAACAACCACTATACAAAAAAGCTCAGAGGCTCAGAGGGAACCGATGTCACAACAGTATCCTAATTATTAGTATAATTATCATAATTTCACGTCGGACACCACTGAAAGCATAAGGCAGATCATGAATGAAGAAGCAAAGTTACAAGAGACTAAAACCCTGCAAAATGTGAACTTGGAAAGACTACAGTTCTATCATCTTCCTAGTTCAAAAAGATGCAAGGCACCTTGAGAGGACAAGAAATCACAAGACTCATACTTCCATCAACAAGAAAATTGGTCACTTATAAGTCATTGAGTAGCCCAAGTCACTGCCAAGATGAGGATCACATTACAAATTTTCAATCCACATTCACAAAGGACGTATTAGAGGACAAACTAATATCCTCCACGGACAATCTCTTTACAGATCATGCTTTAATCCAAACACCAATTCTCACATGCATTATTTGCATAATCAAATATACATTCTACACTCGTGAACTTGCCTCAAAATCTAGGGCAAAGGTACAATCAGGATCAGCCCCTCCCAGCATTGCCATGTCGTTGATTTCTGAAATAGGTGAGAAGTGCCTGCGCCTGCAATGGACCAAAATGCCTTCAGAGGTGGTAAAACTAAAGTTGGAGCCAAGTTTAGGGAATCAGTATACAAGCACTCTCATTAATAAGATGAGCAACGGGAAGTAAGAGATGTCATACAGACTTACCTTTTCTTTAGCCCTTGGGGTGCCGGACTGAGACAAAGCCACCAATGGTGGGACAGCTCCCTCTTGGAGCACCCTACTACAGTATCTGTTGCTATTGGTACAAAGCTGCAGAAGAGCAGCAGCAGCATTTTCCTTTCCTCTTGCAGAACCTAACTCAACAACTTCAACTAGAACCGGAATTCCACCTTCCTGTCCAATAGCAGTCCTTCCCTCTTGAATTGTGGCAAGATTTGCCAACACAGCTACTGCCTTATCAACCATCCCAGCAGCCGGGTCCATCAACTCCACGAGGTACTTTACAGCACCGGCTTGCACAATACGTGCCTTGTTCTCATGAAAGATGGATAAGTTGAACAAAGCTGTGGCTGCATCTTTTTTGCCTCTTGGAGTACCATTGCCAAGCAAATCAACCAGAGGTTCAATCGCCCCCGACCTTCCAATTTTGACTTTATTGTCTTCGATCACAGAGAGACTAAAAAGAGTGGCAGCTGAGTTCTCCTTGGCCTCAGGACTGCCAGTCCGGAGAACGTGGATCAAAGGATCAATTGCATCAGCATTAGCAATTGCAATCTTGTTGTTATCATTGATTGACAGATTAAGAAGTGCTGTGACAGCATCTTCCTGAATCTTGATGTCTGGAGATCTAAGCAAACTCACCAACAAGTTAATGGCACCACAGTTTGCTATTACAATGCGGTTGTCCATGTTGTGCTTAGCCAAAAGTCGAATTTCAGCTGTTGCTTCTCCTTGAGTTTCAGCTGAATCACTTTTCAAGGCATCAACAAGCTTTCGGACTTTAGTTTCAATTTCAGAGAGATCAGCTCTTGCTTCAACAGCAGGAGAAGAAATGATCCTTGGACCAAACCTATCTGGCTGCCGACGCCATATCGTCTGGCTTCTTGACCTTGTCTCTACCATTCGAGGAGGAAACTCCGGTTCTCGCTGAGTAGTAGTCACGTTGTTAGGAGACTGTAGTTCAGGTTTCATCTCCCCAGAAGCGTCACTACTGTAGCCTGTCAGATTAGTAGATCCATTTGCATCTCCAGATGATCCTAGAGGCCTACTTGCACCAGAATGTGTGCCAGATGCCGAAACAGTTCTCTTGTGGTTCAACATCCGCTCATCAGCACCAATGCCATTGGAGAATTCACTCCTGTTTGGGGACGTAGACACTTGGAGAGATGAATCAATAGGACCTTCTTCAAAGTTAACCGAACTTTCTTCAGAGGCTGCTATAGATAATCTTCCAATATCCAAGCCCCGTCCATCTCCAGCAACAGTTGACAACAAAGCATCTGACCTAGAACGAGGATGTGACGGAGAATTCGCATCCTGGGGAACACCACTAGATGCAACAAAGTTCTTAACTGGCGAACCCATGTGTCGGACAGACTCAGGTGACATTGGGGGGTTCCCCCTGATATGTGGCTCCCTGATTGTACCAGACTCTGCATGGCTAAGCAGTGGCGAAGGTTGGTTTGAGCTCACAGATTTCATAGGATCAGGCAACTTCACATGGTTGGATTCACACCAATTAGCAATTAGTGCCTTTACAGTATAATTAGGTATTAGATTTGTGTGACCCAATGTTTGCCGTGTCTTTGGACAAACCGTGAGCCCAAGGTCCAGCCATTTCCTGATGAATGCCCTTTCATACGTTTGCCCTGATGCCACAATAACTGGATCTGTCATCAGCTCAAGAGAGAGAGGACAGCAAAAATCTGCAGGTATTGGGATGGGGCTGGAGATCTCAGACTGCTTTATCAACACAAGACGATCATGCATCCGTGTGATAATAGTGATCAATTGGTCAAAATAATCCACCTCACTGGTGTTCTCAGATTGCTCTGCATTCTCCTTCAATTTTTCAAGGGCAACAGCCTCAATCAAGATCTCCTGGTTTGACTTTAAACTAAAAATTTCTGCAATTTTCACAAGGTCTGCAGAGCTGGGACCAACACCCTCTGCTTGATCCTTTATGGCTTCTGTAATGACCGAACATGCTTGATCATATTCTATATGCTTGATCTTCTGCACGCAGTGCTACAACCATCCAAAAAGGAAAAGAACTGATTAGCCGAGACCAATAAACATTAGCTATTAATTAACAGGTCTGACAAATCTGGTATATACAGTGCTACATCCGGAAGATTGGCACTCGAGTCCAACTCATGGGTAATTAACTATGTAGATACAATTTCTATCTCGAAAGTCGTGTAGAAAACATGAAAACTTAACCACAGCAACTCTACAGAGTATTACCTCCAGTGACCCTGAACTCAACTCATCAGGGAGGTTTTGATCAGCAGACTTCAGCAGCTGGAAAGTATCAAGGCCAGCACTTCGAATTTTTGATATCAAGACCTCTACTCGAAGAATCTACAAACATAAAAAGAAGAAGAATGAGAAAGGAGAGAACCCACCTCCTATATCAGTACTTTACAGGTCAGGAATTTCAGAATTTCCAGTAAAGAAAAGAAACCCCAACAGCTTTCCATCTCCATTCCATAAAAAGCAGGCAATATCCGGTCACCAGGAGGTATGATTTGATCATTACAACAGGAAAGCTAATTTTTTTACATAACTAGTTCAAACTGGAGGACTTCACAGAGGAAGAGAAAGCACAAAAGCCTTCATAAGCTAACACTGCTTGACAGTTTAGAGATATCAATAGAGAAACCAAGGTGTTGGCATTACAAAGGACCAAAAGCACTTCCAGCTGAATCAGGAAATCAACACAATCCACAAGCAAAAATAATCTCTGCCCTGAAGCCTAAACCTTACAGACACTAGTGTCTAAACATGTGAATTAGAGAGAATTTGAGCTATTTTGAACAGGCAACAGAACAGAGGTTCAGTTTGCCCCACCACCAAGTTTCTTATGCCCCAATTAATCAAACAGATGGCATCTTAAACTGAGATGACTAAACTCAAGTAAAATAACGATGATGGAGTGGAGCCAGCACAACAAGCTAGGTGCAGCTCCAATGAGCTTTGGAAGAATAAAAAGGATTAGCAGGCAACAAGTGTGCTGGTCATGCTAAGTCCCTTTAGATCAATTCACATGAGTCAGGTAAGATCCTGTCATTCTCTAAATGTTAAACAAGATCTTGCAGTGACACATACCAAAGTATTGAACTCTCTCAATCTCTCTCATGGAAATACACAACGCACTAGCAATAGCATGCCTCACATCACACCTCGCATGACAAACCCTTTTTCTTCCCAAGAACAGATCCTGCATGTTTCTTAAAAAATCAAACAATTTCTATTTACATAAACGTTACTCTGTTCTGTCCCTTTACGGTTATAACCATAACGAGTCTTCTTATCAGTACTAATTTTACCATCATTTCCATCAGATGCTTTTACTGAAGTGAACCACATTTGATGGTTGATCGCAATCGTTGGGCTCAAAAGAAGCAAGAAAATGCATGAAATTATCATCAGGAAACCAAAAATAAAACTCATGATACCAACCCAAAAAAACTGTAGCTTGGTTCGCCCAAAATGCTGTGCCTATAAAGAAAATAGAAACAAAATGCTTGGGGAAGCAACAAGAGGCACAGAATAACAGAGAATAAACATTAGCCAAATGAAATCATAATTCCAGCATCATCAAAATAGAAGCAAGAAAATTGGCGCTTACAAAATCAACTTTACTCGACAATGGCTGCCAGCTTTCAAAGAGCTCCCTTAAATCCTCCACAGATTGATGAATCTCTCCAAAAGCCTTATTAAGTGACTCGTTAGAAGCTACTTCAGAGCCAACAATGACATCAAGAATTGGCTTCACCAGCTTCAATATTTCCTCTGCCTTTTTATAATATTTCTGAGCTGGTTCCAAGTTTATGCTATCAGAAGATGATAGATGAAAATATAAGGAGATATTACTTAGTAGTGCCTTCAACAGGGATATCTCCATAACACCTGAGACAGAAAACAGTCACACAAGGACCAATTACATTAGAAAAAAAAAAAGAAGAAGAGCAATTTAGCAGCAAACAGTATATATAAAGAACTTTATCAATCATAAATTCTTTCAACCAGTTAAATTCAGAAGCTAACCCTCTCTTTATCTCTTGTATCCAAACAGATTCTGAATTAATCTCATGTCAATAAGTGAAGGACATTGAATGGTCACAACTTTTAACTCCTTTTGGTCACAAGCTAAGCAAATCTGCTGCAAATATGCTATTTTATAAACCATGCCTGACCAATTTCTAGGCACAATCAAGTCCATTCACCATGATGACACTGAGATATGCCCACAATGAAAGAAGTAGAACAATTAAATCGACTCATGCCTGGAAATGGCACAAAGAATGAAAATAAGAAAGAAATTACAAATACCACCATGAAAATTCACTGCAGATTAAAGGAGACAATCTAGTCGGCAGGGTTACTCAAACTCATTGTTGGCGGCCTGCAGTTTGCTATCTCAATTGCACGTTGCACATCAAGGATCTCCAGATGTCTATTGTTGAAAGAAAGAGAACAAGAGGTGCGAAGGAAGAGATGAAAGAAACCGATTTGAAACCCTAGAGCTGAAGCTGAAGGAAGAAGACGGGTACATCACATATTTGAGGTCTTCTGTTTTAGGATTTTTAAAGCAAATTGCTTGTTCTTTTTCCAAAAAAAGACATGAGCTTTTTCTTTGTTAGAAATTGTGGAAGACCCATAAGTCGTAAGGATTGAATTTGATATAATAACATATATATGTTACGGTAAAGCAATATAACACGGATAAAAGTTTTGTATAATTGTACACATACGAGTTTATCTATTAATCAACAAAGTAACAAAAACATGAGTATTGATTGTTACATTGCTTATTTGAATGTTCTTGTTGTATGAATATTTATTGTGTAAATAGCCAAAAACTATTGGAATTTACTTTTTACTATATATCGCAAGTGATCTCTTACCTACCTCCTTCTCAAAATGCTATCAACAATTTATTTTTCAAAATATATTGATCTAAGATCAGATGCTTAAATCGACAACTTTCATATAAGAATAGTTTCATGTTAATTAATCACGAATCTCAAAAGACAGTCTAGAAATAAAAATTACCTAAGCAATCTCCTAATAAAGGCTTCTAGTAAAATAGAAAGGAAAGCACGATGTGAGATATAACATTTAAATAAGCCTTTGACTGGAATACTTTAAGTTCATATAGTATCATGAAAAAGACCATGCAGTTATTAGTATTTCAGACCTTAAAAAACAACCTAAGTTGAGCTATGAATAGCTTTTATATAGTTCAGCTTGATTTGAGCTTCAGCATCAGCTAATTCCTAACTAACAAGTGCTGCCACACATGATGACTTCTTTCTGATTATTGACAATAGACGTAATTGCAAGTATGTTAAGCAATTAGAGAGAAATTGATTCTAGTACACAAAAAATGATGTGTACCTTTCTCCAGACTCCAATGGATTCAAATAATGAAGTAAACTTAGTCACATAGCACTTTAAAGATCAGAGGCGTGATTAAAAGAGAACTCTGGTATCAACCGCCCACAAAATCATTTCTATATTCACTCTGACTCCAAGTTCTCCAGCTGCTACCTGGGCAAAAGCATATCCTTTAGCCTCAAGTTTCCAATTGGTAAACTTATAATGTAAATCTAAAATTAAATCCCACAGTCAACTACGTTATAGAATAGTAAGTTTTTGCCTTACAATTAAGTACCAAAAAACTCATCCATATCCCTAACTACGCCCACCAGCCTTCAACCTCTGATGCAAATCAGCTTTTAATTAAACTAGAGATTATCTGTTAGGTCGGCAGGGGCAGCTAACATGTATTTATACCGAGGATCAAATTAACCATTTATCACTCAGTTAAGAGCTAGGAAGCTAATAATTTTACCCAGTCAAGGACTCGCAAGACCGATAATTTTCTAATCAACTGTGTGTTTCTAAAAGGATTCCATTAATTTACAAGCCAGAATAAGAATTTGGCACTCTATCAAGTTGGTAGAAGAAGAAACATCTAGACTTCTCCTTCACAAGAACAAATTCACCCAAAGTTCTTAACATTCCAACTACTAGCAATTTCTTGCTATTTTGCACCACCAATGCACTTAACCGTATTCTCAGACCTGATTTCTTTATGCTATTCATTATAGTTCATCAACTTGCATTATCTTATTGAAGTTATTGAATGTTGCTGTTTAACATTCTGAAAACACCTCAGATGTCTTGTCATATTCTTGCATGGTGCAAAAACCACTTTATCTCAAGTATGCTCATTGGTAATCATACCTATTGTTGTTTGCCATTAATCCACTACCGCATTTTCATCTTAATAGAACTCATTTTGACACAAAGAGCTAGTGGTCTGCTCCTTTAGATGAATTAACCCCTATTTTGCATTCAAGTCATGATATAATCATGTACTGACAATTTTGGTATTTTTGAGACTCTAATCCACTCGTCAATTTGATAAAATCCAATCCGAACCATATATGATCACAAGAGCCCGCTCCTAAACCATTCATTTAGGTCTAATTTCAAGGAAAATTTCGTCATGGCTACACTTCGAAATATCAAATCCACACAGAAGTGTCCAAGATCACTTCCTCATCTCCATGTCAGCGCTGACCAAAGTATAGCAGTACTTGCATATTGTGTATACCTTCTTCAAACTAAATACAGTTTTACCAGAAGAGTAAATTGAAGCAACCCGAGGTACTAGAACAAAACATACATATTTTGAGCAAGACGAATCTCGCAGTGGACTTGCGCACCATACATCATGCGAGCAACAAATGATGCAACCTACATAGCCAGCTCTCTCTAAACATTCAATCTAGGGAGAATTATTCTTCAATTTACTTCTCTCAAGGAGCAACAATTTCAAAAGAAAGATTACCAAGACAAAAAAAAAAATCACGAGAAATATTATCCAAGACAATCTATGAGAGCTGAAGGTAGACATTTCATGGCTCTCCAGCATAGACTACGTTCAAAGCGTCCGAACCCATTTCGCAACTCGTGCCCTAAATCTACATCATACAACCTCTGATCTCATCCACCACCCGGCATACCAAGCCTTCTCAAACATCTCTAAGATCATACGGCAAAACCACCACTACCCATCACCAGCAAAGGCCAGCCCACACGCCAAGATCGACACCGGAACATGGCAACGCGCATAAACTCTCCAATACCACATCATCACTACCCCAGCCTAGAGTCTCAAGATTTCCTTCCAACAGAAGCAAGAAAAGGACGGACGAAGGCCGTCCGCCGCGCGAATCCAAACCCGCCTCGAAAGGCAGCAATCATTTCTCAACGTTCCATCCCCCCCCCCCCCCCTCGCAACACGACTCCACGCGCGGGAGGGAGACCCAATCCACCACACCCCCCCCACCCACCGCAGCACGTAAGCCCGCCCGCCTACCCACCAAAGAGTCCAATCCCTCCACATAAACAGAACAAAATTCGCTCCCAAAAGCAAAACCACAACCAAGAGCAGCTCAAAGCAACGAGGAACGAAGCACCATCTTCGCCGCCCGTCCGCCGCAACCAAATCGAATTCCGCAAAAAAAAAAAAAAAGAAGATCAAAACAAGAAACTCAAAACGGAAAGAGGACAAGGAAGGAAGGAAGGAAGGGAGCTCCCTCCATCGCAGATCAAAATCAAGGGAAGAAGCGCGTACCTTGAAACGGATTGCCGGGACGAGACGAACGCGAAGGGGGGAAACCCGAGCTCGGAAATGGCGGATTCGAGCTCCTCCTTTGACCTCTCCCTTCTCCCTTCTCTCTCTCTCTTTTCTCTCTGGGAGCACCCGATTTCTCTTTCCCCCAGTTTCGCTTTTTCCCAGTCCAAAGTTCTCCTCGCATATTCTCTTTTTTAATTTATTTATATTATCTCGACCCAAAAAAAAAATCAAAAAAATTTTGTCGTTCATGTTTATTGTTGAGATTGATCGAGGTCGTGCCCGAAAAAGAATACTTAAATATGCGAATCGTGTTTCATGTTTTTGGTAGTGACATTTTAGCGTCGCTGGGGCACGTCGATTTTTTCGCAAAATTAAATTCGACGAAGGTTTGTTGCTGAATAACCGATTAAAAAAAGTTCACGTTTTTTTCCTCATTTTATGGCTCTTCTGTCGAATTATTTCGAAGTTAATTTATTCGATAAGCATTTTGTGATCATGTGTATGTATGGCTCGTTTTAAATTCTAGTATGCATTGTCCTTGTATCATTTTTTTTTTTCGCGAATTTGCTTGTACTTTGAAATTATATTTCATGGGCTCGCGTAGGAAGGGGTGCATCCTTTTTTAGTTTTTTTTTTTTGTGTGGAATTTTTCTTTTATTTGTCTTGAAGATATGATATTACCGTCCGCACATGTTTGAACGTTCTTCGCTTCTATTTCTCCTGGTAAAGATATGTTGATATTTTGATGCGATATAAAGTATTGAAAATTTAAATATTCAGGTTGTTAATTAAGGCTGCGAATGACAACCATTCTGTTTCATAAATCAATTTCTGGATATTTATGTTCCTGGACGAGTTTATGAGCAAAAAAACACATTTGATAACGACACAAAATTTCTGTTCCCGAAACAAAATTTTGTTTAATAACGGCACAAAATTTCTCCATCTCGGGTGACCGGCGAGTGAATGGTGGGCGGATGGCGGCGGTGGACGTTGGGCTGCGGACGGTGGCAGCGAACAGCGGGCGGCGGGGGGAGGCGGCGGAGAACGACAACACGGCCGGTGCAAAGGACGTCGGCGGGAGGCGGCCGACGTCGGGTAGCGACGGGAGGCAGGTGACGGCCAGTAGCGGGAGGGGAGCAACAACGGGAGGAGGACGAATGGTGGCAGCGAACGGCGGGCGGCAAACGATGGGGGGAGGCGACGACGGACGGCGACGCGGCCAGTGCGGAGGACAGCAACTGGAGGCGGCCGGCGTCGGGCAGTGGCAAGAGGCGGGTGACGACCGGCGGCGCTAGGGGGCGGTTGGCGGACGATGGGCAACAACAGGAGGAGGGTGCCCTACGGTCGGAGACGGTGGCCAGCGGCCCACGGCTGCTGGCAGCGAGAGACTGCGAACGGCGGGAGGAGGCGGTGGTCGGCAAGTGGGCGGCAATGAGCAGTGGATGGGCGACCGGCTAGTAGTGAAGACAAGCGATTAGAAGAATTTCTCATTTTTGTTCCAGAAATAAAAAAAAAGTAGAAAATTTTTACTTCTCATTTCTGCTCCAAACCTATTTCTGAAATCAAAATTTGTTCCAAAAAATGAAAAATGAAATTGCGTTACTAAAAAGATTTCTGTTTCAAACTTGTTTCTGGAACAGAAAAATAAAAAGAGAAAAATTATCGTTCGCAGCCTAAGTAGCCGCCAAAATAGCGGGCTTACCAAATAAAGTGATTGGTGCGATTTTGAAGAGAAATCGCGTTGAAGACTTTTTTTTTATTTGGGTCGACCCGTCCACATTTCTCACGCAGCTGCCACAATAGTCGACTCCATGCTTTAATATAATTTATTTAGATATTTATTATACTTTTATTTTATTTTATTTTATTTTATTCTTGTTCGCTGCTATCTTACTTTTTCAGAAAAAAAGAAAAAGAAAGAGAGTTTTAAAGTTGCACCGTGTTGACAATTGTCCACGCCATAAAATGTTTTTTTTTTTTTGGTAACCCAGGGAACCCCGCACGGCCGACAAATGAAGAGTAAACCCCTGAGGGGCGACATCGCTAGGCCACCACACACGTGCCACCGGTTAAGTCACCTTGCGGCGCCCGGGATTCGAACACTCAACCTTTTGCGAGGGGAAGAGTGCGCGCTCCAGCAGCGCCACCCAGGCGGGTGGTGCCACGCCATAAAATGTTTGTAGGGCCAAAAGTCCAAAATCGGGGATTAGGTTTTGAATTTTCTTATTTTCCCTTTTCTTTATTTGTTTTATGCCATTTTCCTTCCCCTTTTCTTTAACATAACTTTTTTTTTTCTCTAAAATTATTTTTTTACGTATTTCTTTAATCTTTTTTTTTGCCTTTGATCCGCAGGACAAACTTAAATTGTTAATTAGTAATAATTCGTTTACTTGATTTAACATCACATTCTTCTATTGCAATGATAAACATATGAAAGAATACGACCGGCTTGGCTATTATACTTAAATTAGTAAATATCCGTCGAAATTTCTGATAAAACGATACCCACCGCAAAGCTCAAGTTTCCACTAATTAGACATATATGAGAGTTCTTAAAAGTAGCCCGATCTTATAATTCAGTATGTACGAAAAATTTAAGATTTAAAGTTTCGAACTAGGTATCTAATTGACAATTTTCAATTTAATGAGAATCTTATAACACCAAAATCGAAATAGTGACCTTACTTTTCACCTTCTTATTTTCACGTGGAGGGATCTCTATATAAATAAAAATGAAAAAAAAAAACAAGTTCTTACAAAAAAAAAATGAAAATAAAAAAACAAGTGCAAGGACATGTGCGTTTTACCTTTTAGGGCAAAAGTAAAACGATGCTATTGTCGATACAGCTTCAATTTTTTGTTTGTTCCATGATTTCTAATGATATTATGTTGCCTTTTTTTTATTGTAATTTAACGTTTTTCAGTATATAACTCTTTTTGATTGATCTGCGCGAAAAATTAGAGTTAGCTATTATCATTAAAAAAAAAAGCATTGACTTTCCATGTACTAATTATTTAATTTTCATATTTTTACTAATTTCTATATAAGAAAACACCCCCGAGTCATCCCTTTAAAAACAAAAAATATGTTCATAATTGTCATGCTGTTTTGCGAATCAAAGTTGATAGATAGAAAGGGTCAAAGAATTCCACATCAGCATATGATTCTTGATTATTTAAGAAGGATTATGAGTAATTCGAAACTTCTAAAGTCATCAAGGAAGTTCACCTTGTAATTTAACTGATAAGGACCTTTTGCACATCAAACTAATTAGAAGCTCCTAATGCCATGAAGGACTTTCTCCATGTAATTTAATAGATAAGAACCTTCTTTTTTCTTTTGCATATCAAACTAGTATAATCTATATACTTTATTAAGAATTAGTGCATGAAGAATATCACCACGATGCTTAGTACCCCCCTCAAAGCTCCTAGAAGAGAGGATCAAAAATAGTACCTCGCAAGATATGCTAAAGGTACGTTTTGTACGAAGAAAAACTGTTTTCAGCAAAAAAAATTTCGACTTTTCTGTATTTGGATGACGAAAATCTAACTCATCTACGGAAAAAGTTTTCCATGAATTGAAAACAATAAGCTTAGATTGGAAAAAAAGGACATCCATTCTAGTAAATTACCAAACAAATGAAAACTAGAAATTTTCCTTGAAAATAACTTTCACGAAACATAACATATTTCCCTTTATCATAAAATTTTTAGGGAAACAAACGCACCTTAGGTAATTAAAAACCTAATGAGTACACATGGCAAAATATTCCGCACCCTTTTGGAAGAAATTGTTATTATATATACTAGTCGTGAATGCTCGCAATGTGAGGATATAAATATTTATTATTATTATAAGCATCACGCTCGATATGATATTTTTAGATTTTTTTTGCGACATAGGGCCTGTTTGGTTCAACTTTGAAAATGCTACTTGGGAAAATGCAAATACCTTTGGGTGAAAGCCCATTGCGGAAATGCAAATGGTGTTTGGTAAAAATATTTTGTAAAGCTACTTTGGCCAAAATATAGTGTTTGGTGAATTTTTTTTGCAAATGGACTTTGGGAAGAAAAAACCTAACTTACCCTTCGCTGGAGCCGGCGTCGGCCGCCTTGGCGAGCGCACTGCGCCCGGCGGCCGTCGCCGAGGTCGGGCGACCACCTAGAGGCCAAATCTCAGGCGGGCGGCCGTCGCTCGAGGCCGAGCGACCCTCGCGAGGGTCGCCCGGCCTCGGCGACGGCCGCCGGCCTCTTGCCCCCGATCCAAGACTACGGCCGCCTGCACGGCCTCTCACGCCGACCACCTCACGAAGAAGAAGATGAACAGTACACACGAGAGGCAAAAGTGGATTTTTGGACAAATTTTGAGAGCAAAAAAGGCAACTAACATATTTCATTAAATGGGGTACTAGCATTCCGAGAATGTTGAAAGCTCAAGGCACCCTAGGAGGTGCCTTGAGCTTCCAGCTTTGAGAAGGCCAACATTTGACCAAAGAGCTCCAAAAATAATTTGCCAAACACAAAATAAATATCTGGACTCGACTAGAACCGTAACAAATTGTGATTTATTTTGTTATAAAACGAATCGAATCAATGCTCAAATTTGTGTTGGGATTTCATCTTCATGGGTTAGATGCGAGAAGTCAACATACCAAGAATCAGTAACTTCTGACAACTATCTTTAACTCATCAAACGAAAGACATTTTCCTGTCTTTTAACACTGGAGGTACAGAAACTCCACCTTCTGTAACTCCACCGCCACTTTCCAAGTCAGCAGTACATCAAAAGAAGAAGATAAGCCTCTTCCATTGAATACATGTTTAGGCACAAGCAGAAGGCCGTCCCATAGGTTTCTAGTCGACAATGCCATTGCTAAAAAGGATCTGATCATCAGTAAAGAGAGACAAGCAGCCTGTGTAACCCAGAGTTTCTTTCCCATGATTGCCTAGTCTTGCCTCTCAATGTGAGTAATATCCAGAAAAAGAAGATAGATTTCCCTTCTTTTACAGAGGTCCATCACATGTGCATTACAAAAGGAGCTTTCAAAGACACTTTCGTGTCGTCGCAAATACAAAGTTAGCTCTGACCGTCAAACCATAAGTAACACCAGACCTACCAAACAGGTGCTAAATCC